TGAACTTGATGGACGCAAGTCTCTTTTCAGCTATGTAACTATGTAACTATTGTAAAGTGCTACAGAATTGGTTGGCGCTATATAAATATAATTATAATAATAATAATACATTTATGATTTTTAGAAGCCTTTTTATGCCTTCTATGTCCTGTTAATGCATTCATTAATGTCACTTTAGCTGCCATGTATTTTTATTTGGGGGAAGAGGGCACCTTAAAAATTCTGTGCCTACAGGCACCTGATGTGTAAAACTGGCCCTCAGCATTGAGTACGGTATCAACTGCAGACAGTATGACCTTGTTAAATCATTGATGGCCAATGTTTCAGGCCCAAGTACCTCTCTACTTAAAATGAAACTGTCATGCCACTAAAATTATACATGATTTATCACCTTCTACATACTATCTGAACATTATTTACCTTAGATCAATCTATGTATGTATGTATGTATGTATGTATGGATCTATCTATCTATCTATCTATATATCTCAAATGTGTGTTACATAATTTGACCTTTATTTTAACAGGCATGGATCTGTAACTCCCACTAATCTCAGGCTGTGGGACATGTATTTCCCAGTGCTGCCTTTAAAGTAAACCTCCCCTTTACCCTTACTTTACATTAGCACACTTCTCTATGTCACATTATAACTTCAATATTAACCCTTACCCTTTACTAACACTACTAACTGTCACTATGTCCTGAGCTTAGGTGGGTGTTAAATTGTTGTAACACCCACTCCCGGGCACTCCTGTGTCACACCTGCACTCTACTTTGATTTGCCCTGCTTAAAGACTTTCTTCAAGCAGTGAAAACTTCCTCCATGACATTGTCATGCTGATATAGCCAGCATTTGAGCTACACTACATTCTTTTTCACAAGAAGTGCTGGCTAGTGAGTAACTAAAATAACACATATGCTATATTTGCTACGCTGGAGAGCAGTAGGGCCGCCTGTAGGAGGACTCTACTGCTATCTCTGTCAGCCAAAAATCTATTTAAAGGAACACAAACATGTATTCCTTACCCTATAGTGTTAAAGCCACCACTAGCCCTCCTGACCCCCCTCCTTTTCCCCTACATTTAGCAAAATCTTACTTTTAGCAAAGTCTGTTGTTGCTGGATTTGCCCCTGATCTGCCCGCTTGGCTGACATCATCATGCTGTCCCTTAGGATTGGCTGAGCCTGTCAAGGAGGCAGATCAGGGACAGAGCTTGCACATGTCAAACACAGACCTGGTCAATCAGCATCTCCTCATAGAGTTGAATTGAATCAATGCATCTCTATGAGAAAAGTTCAGTATCTCCATGCAGAGGGTGGAGAGACTGATTTTCAGTGCTGCACAGTATGCAGCACTTCCCCAGGAAGCCCCTATAGCAGCCATCTGAGGAGTGGCAAGTGGAGGTATCCCTAGGCTGTAATGTAAACACTGCATTTTTTTTCTAAAAAGACAGTGTTTCCAGCAAAAAGCCTGAAGGGAATGATTATATGCAAAATGAATACCAAAATATTAACTCTGCGGATAATTAGATTTGTTTTTTTTTCTACTTCAGCTCTATTAGCCTATATTTTATAGAGAGAAGGATTAGGGTCCCACAGGGCCCTAGGCAGCTTTTATGGTTTTCCGAGGCCTCTGTCCAGCTCCGTGACTGCTTTGTGTCGCCTTAAGGTTAATAATACTTCTCTGATTTTTAGTCAGCTGATTGTTTAGTTAATAGACCCCTAAATGTTGCCAGTTGTGTACATTAGTGGCTTTCTTACTACAATTGGGCGACTTCCCAATATACTTTGGGTATATTGTGTTATATGTTACCTATCCTCCATTTTCTAAAATCCCATGCTTTGTGCATCAAATGACGTATCGCTGTTTCTGTAGTGTAAACCAAACTTTAACACATTTTGATTATCCATCTTTTGCTACATGTTTATTATATTTTATTTTTATTCTCAACAATTAATCTTTCCTATATTACCTGTACAAATTTCATGAGTGAGACAAATGGAGCTCTGTTTAATCATGTAAACAGCGATACATAATCTTAATTACATGACATTTTTACAAATAAACTCTTCTAACAACATTATCAATTGCCATTATATTTGTTGACACTTTTATTTCACTTACAGTGAGAAGTCAAAGCACTCATTATATCAAGTTGTTGCCCGTCTAATTATGATAAAGTTTAAGTATGCTAAATACATGTCAGTTCATATTTTCAGACAAACTATTCCCAGGATATCTATCTATCAAGGGCCGAACTGGGGATTCCAAAGCAGCCCTGGAACAAAAATTTATGCCAGCCCCATAAGTCATTGCGCCACATATTGTCGCATGTAATATGTAAGGCTATGTCTTGCCACCCTAGATGATTGATATTTATATATATATTGCTTTTTCCAATATAAAATATTGGTCCTTTAAGAGTAAAATTTTTAATTATACAGTAAGCATACTCACATGCAGACACAGACAATCTCACTGACATAAGCTGATTGATACACAGCCTCATAGACAAACACTCTCACTGATATACATAAGGTCATTGACATAAAAACACAAGCTCACTCAGTAACAGGCACACACACACAAGCAAGCCCACTCACTAGCAGGCACGCACACACACACACACAGCTTAATGTAGTGGCTCTGGTGTCTATAGCCTGTCCCTGCAGGCTTTTCAATGTAAACACTGATTTTTTAGAGAAAAGGCAGTATTTACATTGCTTCCTAGTGACAGACACTCAGACGGTCACTAGAGGTGCTTCCTGTGTCAGTGCGGATTGGCTGAGATCATCAAGTTTGTGTGTGTGTTAGTGAGTCTGTTTGATGTCTGTTAGTGAGTGTGTGTTTGTCAATGAGAGTGAATGTTTTGTAAGTGAGTGTGTATGTATGTCTGTCGCTGACTGTGTCTCTGTCAGTAAATGTGTGTGTCTGTTAGCTAGTGTGTATGCGTCTGTAAGTGAGTGTGTGTGTCTTCAGCACTTACCTTTCTCCAGCGCCGGACTCCTTGGCGCTGGGGATCTCTGACCGAATGCGACGTGCGCATTCAAACCCATAGGAAAAGCATTACTCAATGCTTTCCTATGGACGTTCAGTGTGCTCCTCTAGCGGCTGTCAGTGAGACAGCCACTAGAGGCTGGATTAACCCTCAGTGAAACATAGCAGTTTCTCTGAAACTGCTATGTTTTCAGCTGCAGGGTTAAAACTAGAGGGAACCTGACACCCAGACAACTTCATTGAGCTGATGTGATCTGGGTGTCTGTATTGGTCCTTTAAAGGACCACTATAGTGCCAGGAAAACATACTTGTTTTCCTGGCACTATAGTGCCCTGAGGGTGCCCCCACCCTCAGGGACCCCCTCCCGCCCGGCTCTGGAAAGGGGCGCTGGGCGGAGAGCTCTCCTCCTCCGATCCTCCTCTTCTCCTCCCCGTCGGCTGTATTCATAATGCTTTCCTATGGACGCTGGCGTGCTCTCACTGTGAAAATCACAGTGAGAAGCACGCAAGCGCCTCTAGCGGCTGTCAATGAGACAGCCGCTAGAGTAAATAGGGGAAGGCTTAACCCATTCATAAACATAGCAGTTTCTCTGAAACTGCTATGTTTATGAAAAAATGGGTTAACCCTAGCTGGACCTGGCACCCAGACCACTTCATTAAGCTTTAAGTGTGTGTGCATCTGCAAGCACTGGCGTACATACCGCGGTCGCAGGAGTCGCAGCCCTGTAACCCCTGCGACCAGGTGCCCACCGCCATGTGTTGCGGCCCGGCCCGCACGCGGCGGAGGGGCCCACGGATCAATTTTCGCACCGAGGCCCCATGGGTCATGTGTACGCCACTGGGTATTTGTGTGTGTTTATGCCATGTCAGTATATCTGCATGATACTGTTCCTGTATATGCAATGCCAGTGTGTTCATGTTTGTGTTCCTATACAGTGTCAGTATGTGTATGTCGGTGCCACTGTGTATGTAAAGTCAATGTGTGTATGTAAGTGTATTCAAACACTAACCGTGACCTAAAAAGGTAATGGAATATAAAAGATACATAACTGCAAAATGGGGAAAAAACACAATTTTATGTATCAGGAGACATTTATAAATTGCTTGATGTTTTGTCTCGTTGTCTATTATAAAGCCTTCAGAACCTCGCCGTGGAATTATTTTCCCATAATGCACAGTTTACCTTAATGTTTTAAATGTATATGTAGTTTAATTTTCATTCTCGAAGAGAATATGAGCATCCATTATATTAAACTTTAAACTAAATCCCCTCAGATTATTGGGCCCAACCACTCTATTGCACAAATACAAAACATTTTTTTTTTTTAAAAACCAACAATACTGTTTAATATATATACCCACAATGAGAACATTCATGCATTTAATTATGCATTTTTCAATTAAAGGTATATCTAAAAACAATAGTTGTATTTCTCTTGTCTGCAGCCTTTGAGAGCCCTCCTCTTCTAACCCTGCCCAGACTTTCTGAGGCTGTCCAATCATAGACTTCCCAATGCAGCTCAATGAGAAGTATTTGCAAGGCAGGTGCTCTGAGCCATTGCTGCCTCTTGAGTTTAGTGCAAATAATCTAAGTAAACCAGGAAGTAAGAGGACCAGTTGTCTGATTGACAGCCAGTGAGTGTAACAAGGTTAATTTATAAAAAAAAAATGCAATTTTTATTGAAACCTGCACTTTTTGTAAAATTAAAAAAAGAGTACACACTGTTCACACATGCAACCTGTTCCAAATTATTATGCAAATTATATTTTTCTCATTTACCTAAATAATTGATTTAAATAACAGTCAGGGTAATTTTCATGTTATCAACTATTAAGAGTACAATTCAAATTTTATTGAACAAACCTCCAAATGATAATATTTCTTTTAAACATAATATACTTACAATGCACTGTTCCAAATTATTACGCACAGTAAGGTTCAAAACACTTTATTGGTTGTAAAGAACTGAAAATTGTCATTTGTTGTGTTTGCAGCATATTTACTGAAATCAAAAGCTATTTCAATCAAACTTATAACAACATTTTAACTTTTTAAACATTTTAACAGGTCAAGTTACATTTTAACATAGGACCCCTTATTTGATAGCAGCTTCACAAGTCTTGCATCCATTGAACTTGGACAGTTTCTGCTTGAATTTGTTTGCAAGATGTCAGAATAGCCCCCCAGAGCTGCTGTTTGGATGTAAACTGCCTCCCACCCTCATAGATCTTTTGCTTGAGGATGCTCCAAAGGTTCTCAATAGGATTGAGGTCAGGGGAGGATGGAGGCCACACCATGACTTTCTCTCCTTTTATCCCCATAGCAGCCATTGATGCAGAGGTATTCTTTGCAGCATGAGATGGTGCATTGTCATGCATAAAGATGATTTTATTACGGAGAGCATAGTTCTTCCTTCTGTACCAGGGAAGAAAGTGGTCAGTCAGAAACTCCACATACTTTGCAAAGGTCATCTTTACACCTTTGGGAACCCTGAAGGGGCCGACCAGCTCTCTTCCCATGATTCCGGCCCAAAACATGACTCCACCACCGCCTTGCTGACTTCGCAGCCTTGTTGGAACAGGGTGGCCGTCCACTACTCCATCCATCTGGACCATCCAGGGTTGCACGGCACTCATCCGTGAACAGAACTGTTTGAAAATGAGTCTTCATGTATTTTTCTGCCCAATGCAGACGTTTCTGGACTCTGGAGGACTCTACACTTTGATGTCCGTGGGTCTCCAGTGGCACCAGCAGCTTCAAATATCTGTTTGCTGCTCTGTAATGGTATTTTAGCAACTGCTCTCTTGATCTGATGCCTGGATCTGGCAGAAATCTTCCTCAATGTGCCTTTATCTGCACGAACCCCTCTGTGCTCTGAATCAGTCACAAATCTCTTAATAGTGCGATGATCACGCTTAAGTTTTCGTGAAATATCTAATGTTTTCATACCTCGTCCAAGGCATTGAACTATTTCACTCGGCAGCAGAGAGATCCTTTTTCTTCCCCATATTGTATGAAAATGGTGCTCTGCTTAATAATGTGGAACACCCTCCTTTAGTAGTTTTTCCTTAAATTGGGCTCACCTGGCAATCTAATTATCACAGGTGTCAGAGATTGTTTCCAGTGATCAAAAGAGCCCTGAGACACAATGCCATCCATGAGTTAAACTGAAAAACAAAATATTTAATCTTTGTGACACTTAAATAGAATTTGCATGATAATTTGGAACAGGGTGTAAAGCATTTCAGCAAGCTAAAATGCTATAGGGGTACGGAGTGTCCCTTTAAGCCTCAGATACTTCCTTCTGCTTCCCCACGGAACTTATCTGGATGCACCTGTGGGGACTCTAGCATAGTTTAGCAATTGCCTGTTTTGCTGCAATCTTTCTCTGATAGCAACAATCTCAGTTTTGATTCAGTTCAGTTTATAGCAATAATGAACAAGTATTACTATTTCAGGTGAGCACTTTCTATGCAGTTGTAGTTGATGTTAATATGTTGCTGCCTTTGATTTGACAAACTAATATACTACTGCTATGTCTAAAATGCAGCTTTAGAAAGAATGGCATTAATTTTAACTAAATGATTGTCATATCAATTCTGTAAGGCTTATGATTTTTAGAACATTGTATAAATTCTCTTAGATGTTGAACGTTTGTCTTTTGTATCACTGCCTTACCTAGATATACTGTAACACTAGCATGGAAATGAAATCAACCCAATTAAACTGCTCCACAGATGTACACATTCAGAATATATGATCTGCCACAGTAGCTGTAATAACTCTTGTTGATGATTTACTTTTGGATCAAGCTGGAATCCCACAAGAAGCCCTCAAAAAAACAAATTGTCCAAGTAAACTGGATTTGCATATTAAAGCCTCTGTTATTGAAACTGTATCATATTTATTGCACTTTCTTGGATTCTGTTGCCATAGCTACAGTTCTGTAGTCAGAAATAGTTTTTTTTTTTCTGCTTTCAAAGTTATGCTAATGGCCAGAGTTTCTTAGGGAGCATAATCGGGGAATTTCAGACAGTAAACACTCATTCTCATTCCTCAGTCTTGGCTAAATGGCTGGAGTCGCTATTTCATTTCCTTTGACCAGAGTACATTTAGGGAATGTAAAAAAAAATGTGATTCCCCTCAGCTCCCCTAGTTCTAAAAGATCAAATTATGTTTACATGCCTTTGGCAGCTTGCAGATCCCGTTTCTTGCTTTTTAAAACCCCCTGACAAAGCAAGATTTGTTTTTTTGGCAGAACATATAAGAAGGATAGCCAAAGACAGAAATATTTCCTTATTTAATTTTTAAATGACTGGTTTATTTTCTACAGGAAATGCCACAGGATTGTCGTTCTGAGGCTAGGATAGGATGCCGTAGAGACATGCACCACGCCTATCTATTTCCGAATGCCTTGATAGTTATTTATTTATTTTACATTGCTTATATAGCTCCCTGGTATAAAAAATCTTGACATTCTTTGTATTTTATGGGCGCCAGGATTTTGTTTGTAATTTTGGAATCTGCCATTATGGTGACTTTGACAAATGTTTGCTGAAATAACACAAGTCTGAAACTCCAGTTTAGTGGGACCACTGCAGACTGCAGTCCTATTTCCATTTTATGTTTCAATGCTCCAAATGAATCTGGATGTTTTCAACTGTGTGTAAATATGCCAATAAAACGATGTTGAAATTATTGTCTATTTTATGAGATTAAAACATACAATTATCGGTCAGCGCAATATGTGACCGAAGTCACAGGCTCAGGGAAAACAACGAGAAAGCGAGATGGGCCCCACAAATGAGAGGGCGGAAACAGCACCCTAAAGGTTTCCAACTTTGTACAATTGCAAACCGTTGTAAAGGTTTTCATTTCTGTATTACCCATGAGCACTCAACAGGGCTGCGCCCCTGGAACCTGAACCGTTCATTCTCTCAAATTGTCTTCATTGTTCTTCATGATACCTTACCTTACTTAAAAACCAATAATACAGAATTTATAAAAAAAAAAAAAAAAAAATACAATTATCATTAAAAAATACATATATCAATAGAAATGTCGCAAGTTAGGGACCAAAAAATAGCTTGCTGTTAATTAAATTATACACATAGTAGAAAAGAATATGTGTAGATGTCAGATGTTGTAGGACTACAACTCCCATCATTCTTTACCAGATATAGATTAAAGGGGACTATGGGAGTTGTTGTCCAATGTCATTTTGGGGTGCACCCTTGGTTTGGACAGATAGAGATGACCTTATATAAACAGTTTTGGAAATTGAAGTGCATGACAATGAAATAATAAAGACATTTTGGGGTAGGACTTCTCATGATCTGGCATGGAGGAGTGGATCTGGAAGCTATATAAGTAAGAAAAAGTGAGTTCTGACCTTGGGAGGAAGAATAGTTACTAGGATTAAAGGTGTAAAAGATATATTAGGTACAAAGAGACGATGAAGATTGGAGTTTGAAGCTGGAAATTTCTCTTTAAGATAATTATGGGAGTATGGGTCTGGAGAAAAGACCGAGACACTGTACATATAAATAAATAGAAAATTGAGTGTAGCCTTACAATGACAAGTAAGATGAAAAAAAAAAGAAGAAGAAGAAGAGATTCAATATAAGGGAGATGATAGACTTAAATGGACACTGTAGGCACCCAGACAACTTCAGAGGCTGGATTAACCCTCAGTGTAAACATAGTAGTTTCTCTTAAAATGCAATGTTTTCAGCTGCAGGGTTAAAACTAGAGGGACCTGGCACCCAGACAAATTCATTGAGCTGAAGTGGTCTGTGTGCCTATAGTGGTCCTTTAAGTTATGAGTTTGTCAGTTCCCTGGAAGTTAGTGACCCCACTCCCCAAGATATTTAAGATAAAGAGTCATAATAAAGGATGCTTGTCAAGGTGGCAGCAAGCAGATAGGAACCAGTGAGTGATGATTGTAGTAATAACCACAGTATAAAGAGAATGGGAAGGTGTGCACATCTCACTGATGCTGTGGATCACACTTTATTTTACCTATTTGCACTAAATCTGTTTGCAATAACACTTGGGGCAGGCGGAGAAGAGAATACAAATGAACCCGTGTTTATTTTAATGCTATGTACACATTCCTCCCTAAAGACTGTGATTTGAGGTTTTTAGCAGTCTCTCCGGCTGAGACACTCCTTCGCCTGCAATGTTATTATTGTTAAGGGTCCAAGATACATTGGCTGCATGTTAAAAGTGACCAGTGATAAAATCAATAGAAAGGTTTTCCCTAATTACACCAGTTTTTGTTGTGGAAAAAAATTATGGAGTGTGAAATATATTCTTTTACAATGATAAATAATATGTTTATTACATGGTATTCAAACTATATAACATGAAGACCTTCATAAATGACATCTGAGACTTTCAATAAAATCTCAGATCATTGCAAGTTCTCTCACCTTGAATACAAATTCTCAAATAAAATCAGTATGCATTTCTGTCTGTAGGAGCACTGCAGGGAAACAGGTTTCGGTTTAGTTTGGTTATGGTTATGGTTGGGCTCCATCTTGTTGGTATACAGAAGTTAATTGTTTGTTTCTGTCCTCTTAGGTCTGTAAAATCAGATCCTCTCTATAACCTTTATCTAAATGACTCCTAAATGACTCCTCTTAATGTTAATGCCAGTTACTTACCTTATTATTTGCAGTTAGTGCTAAGGTGCAAATCTGATTAGGCGATTGTGATCGCTCTCCCAGTGAAATTCCTAAATGAGTATTATAGATCTTCTGCTTTTATGTTGTTGGTTTCTTCATATTTTTTTGTTGCTTTTGAGGGAAGGGGAGGGTTACCTGTTCTCATGTATAGTTGACACGTTCTTCACAGGCCTTATTGTTACATTGTTAAAAAGCAAATTTAGTTGTTTATTCACCGAACAAGCTGTACTTTTATTTTAAGCATTATACTTTTGTATTCACTGCTTTTCATGTTCCTAGTGTAACAAAATGATTTTCAATATGTAAAACTACTCCACTCTGCATTTTATTTTAAATATGTCTGAAAAATTCTATTAAAAAAAAAGGAGAGCAAAGAAAAATAAGGAAGAAAACTGTCACTTTGTGTCTCTTCTCTAGTTAGGGATTGTTATTAAATATTCAATAATTAAGCAATAAGTCACAACATTCATATTTTTGGGTATTATGGTCGAATATGCGTATAGAAAATGAATGCAACTTTGTAATATTATATGTCAGTTCACTATAATCGATTATAGCAAGTAACAGACTTTAAAGGGACACTCTACTCACCAAAACAACTTTAGCTTAATAAAGCAGTTTTGGTGTATAGATCATGCCCCTGCAGTCTCACTGCTCAATTCTCTGCCACTTAGGAGTTAAATCACTTTGTTTATTCAGCAGAGTGTGGAGACGCTGAACGGCAGTGCTGCCTACTGTGCAGCACCGCCCCAGGAAGAACCTCCAGTAACCATCTGAGGAGTGGCCACTGGAGGTGTTCCTGTTGGGCAATGTAAACAGTGCCTTTTTTTCTTAAAAGACAGTGATTGCATGGGAATGCCTGAAGGGAATGATTACACTCTCCAGAACAAATACATTAAACTGTAGTTCTTCTGGTTACTATAGTGTCCCTTTAAATGTTTTTCAGCACACATACCATTTTGTCATATTGGTGCACAACACATGAAAACTGCTTTCTGGAAGTACAACAAATTAATGTGTTTTTATGAGTGGGTATTTAACAGAGTGATTAAAAGGTGGGGGGCACAGACTGCATCAGATATGATGAATTATGGTTCAAGTACTCTGGTTCACATTAGAAGACAGAGCACAGGGAAACTAATAGTACATACATTTATTACTCAACTAGTGCTCAGCGCTGACATTTATATCCCTGATATAAAGGAATTAATAAATTATAAGGGATGTTCGTGGCTTTGTTGTGATTAATGGCCATATATGCCTAATGTATTTCTTGATCTATATTGTGATTGGGAATGAGTTATTTTAGGGAACACACACATTTTAATTTTAACTGGTATTTTCAGTTTTCTGATTTCAAAATAGATGATAATTGCCCGAGCTTTATGTTTAGCACTTTCACTTGAGACATTTAATAATAATAGCTGTAGAAAATGGTTTTTATATGGATGGAATTATTAGTAAAATCCATTTTTTAAATAATCGATATGTATACACATATATCTATTTTTTTTATTGAATCCAGTATTTGCAGAAATGATCCAGAATGCAAAATTTCATACACACTTTGGTAATAAAATGCAGAATTTGTGACCTACTACAGTTTTCTCCTAAATAAATTCAGCATATGATTTCTTAAGTATAGCTCCCTAGTGACTGAGTTATTTACCACCTGCCAGCTGAGAATTTTCTCTTTATTATTGACCTTGAGGATTGAGCAGATAAAAATATAAGCTAGGACGTATGCCTCTTAAGCCACTAGCCTGGCACATAATACTTTAAATAAGCATCACATCAAAATTCCATTAAAAAATATTTTTTGTAGATGTGGATAGGTCAAAACTACATAAGCTCAAATTTTGGACTTATATGTCTAAGAGAATTTTCAGCATTCTTATGCACACTGGCTATAAATGAGATTTATAAATCAGATTTTCTTTTTAGGATAACAGTTCATTGGCACTTGGTGGTAAAAGAAAGCAGAGGACAATTCTAAGATTTTACTATTAGCATGATGTAATGTCAAGATTTTATTAATGACACGGAGTCACCATCACCTCGGGTTTCATACGGATATTTTATGTAGGGCCCTGGACTATTCCTATGTTTAAGTCACCCTGTGTTCATCGTGGGTGCAGGGTGTGTGTGTAATGTAGTTATTTGCACTTAAAGGTTATTGTGCTCTACTGTCTTGCTAATACTTGCATTCAACTAGCTGGATTTGGTTGTGGAGCATGTACTGTGCCACCTGTTGGTTGCAAGGATCTAGCAACAGCTATATGTACTACCTGAATAGCAAGCATTGCTAATTTGCATATTCAAGTAGATTAACATATTTCTAATTCTGCAGGCGTGATATTTTTTTTTTAATTATTGTCTTCCCCATCCCTTTATAAATATGTTATTATAAATATGTTATAA